GCCCGCCCCGGGCGCTTGCGGCACCGGGCACCGCCGCGGGCCGGAGCGGAGCGCAGCCCTGGCCCGGGCTTGCCGCCCCTCCGGTGCCGGGCTGCGGGGTCCCGGGCAGGAGTACTCCCCTTCGGCTCCCCTCTGCTCGCCCCGGTGGGAAACCCGAGGGGACGGTTGTCTGCTGCGCTTGCGGGGCTGGGCTTCTGCGCCCGCCGAGGGAGGGCGGGGGAGCCGGGGGAGCCCCGCCGCGGCGGGGTGCGGGGGGAGGCGGGGTGCCCGAGCAGGAGAGGGGCCGCCGGGCAGGCGGAGGAAGAGCCCATCGGGGTGGATGTGGTGACTGTTTGAGCCCCCGCACCGGCGCGGTGATGGGCTTACTGGGGGCACAAGGGGGTCCTCTGCATCCCTCTGCCTCCGTGACAGATGCAGGACCCCACGGCGGCTGCTGCACCTGCCCTGGCAGTGGGTCGGCTGGGCTCAGCCTCTCCGGGGTGCCTCCTTATAGCCCCCACCCCCCTTTCTTGCAGTCCTGACCTTTCGGGAGATCTGGAATCGTAGTTTCTGCCGGCCTCTGGAGCAGCTGGTGGATGTCATTACCGAGTTCCCCAACGAGGTGGAGTACATTTTCAGACCCTCCTGCGTCTCCCTGCAGCGCTGCGGAGGCTGCTGTGGGGACGAGGGTCTCCGCTGCGTCCCGGTGGAGACAAGCACGGTCACCATGCAGGTAAGCGCTGCTGCTGTGGGGCCGTGGCTGTGCTGGGGAGGTAGTGGGCTCCTCGCCAAGCACCGGGAGGGCGAACTTGCAGCTTCGCATTTTTCAGACATCGTAGCAGTACGGCTAACAGGGGAGCGGGCTTACTCACAACTGCTCAAATGCATGCCAAAGCAGGAGGGTCCCTCTGCCTGCTCTTTGGGCTTGTCCCTGAGTCCAGGCGACACCTCTGGTAGTACTGGCCTCGCTCCCTGCTTCCCTGCCCCCTCCTCTCTATGTGGTCCATCTTGCTGACTGCTGTCGCCTTTCCAGACCTCCCCTGTCCTGCGCTGGGGCTCAGGGTGTCCCAGTTGCCTGTGACTGTTTGCTGGGGCAAAGCAGGCACTGCCCCTGAATCACAGGGAGAAGTGAGGCTCTCGTGTGTCAGGAGATGCCTGCGATGGTACTGACAGTGAATGTGTGCTGCGGGCATGGTGAGTGTGAAGGGCTGTGCCAGCCGCATTTCCATTTGCCACTGTGGAAGCTCTGTGAAGCAGCGTGGGAGATCCCAGACTGCGAACAAGACGCCAGTCAGGTCTTCCCCATGCACCAGGCAGCTGTTGTCCTCACACTGCAGCCCTTGTGCTGTGCTGCTGTAGATCAAGCCGCTGCTGCTGCAGGGAGAAGGGAAAAGCTCTGCTTTGCCATGGGTGATGGGCTAGAGAGTGCCTGCAATGAATCACCAGTGATTTTGGTCCCTCAGGAGTTGAAAGTGTGTTGGAAGGCAAGGTGGGAGTCTCCAGAAAATCTTGACTGAGGTGGAGCAAGAGCCTGACATGAATGGGAGGCAATTCCCCAAGCACAGCTCTCCCTCAACAGGAGGGATCCCTCTGCTGTGTGCGGGGTGGCAATGCCGGGCACTTCTGTGCGGGCTAGCGTGGATCACACCGATGATGAACATACCCTGTGAAGCCCCTGGATGTCCAACCCGAACTCCAGGCTGGTTTGTGGACTGACATGTCACAGGGGAAATCCTGCACCCCTGTGCTGGAGTAGCACCATGGTACTGACTCCAGGCTCAGTGCTGTGGGAAAGGGGGCCAGGAGGAGGCAGCAGCAACGGGAATGGTCTGGAAAACATGAGTAGGGGGATATTTCCATCAGAGAAGGGAGATGTGCGAAGTGGTCAAATACGTGAAAGCTCTCCACAAAGGCAGAGACAGAAAAATCTCCTCTAAGGCTGGGAAATCCCAAGACCACGGGACTTAAATTACAGCCCTGAAGACATGGGGCGGTACTAGCAGAGCCTCCCAAGCTGCTGGGGTGGCCAGGCCTGGCCGGTGCTGCCTGCATGCGGAGGTGGAGTCTCCGCTGCTGGAGGTCTCGAGGAACAGGTTAGACATGCATCTGCCCGAGAGGCTGGGGTGGTGAGGCAGTGCTGCCGGAGCCCTTCCAGCCCCCTCCTGCAGCGGGCTGGGAAGTAACCTTTGCTCCTCTTTCAGCTCCTGAAGATAAAGCCAAATGGGGAGGCACCCTACGTGGAGATGGCGTTCACCGAGCACAGGCAGTGCGAGTGCAGGTAGGGACCCCCAGGCTCATTTTGCAACCCTGTGCCCCTCCAGCAAGAGGGACCCTGCCAGCTCGCCCTGCGTGTGGGACAAGGATGCTCTGGGGGCACCTCAACCATGCTGGGACACCTTCACTGTCTCTGCACTGGAGTTTGCCGGTGCTTATGGCCCTTGCTCAGCTGCAGGCTGCACTGTGCCTCTGCAGCCTGCTCCTGGCAGCCATGGGGGTGCGTAGCATTGTGTGGCCAGGTCACGAACCACGCGCTGTCTGCAGGGCTGGAGCTGCTGCGGCACCCCGGCTCTGTGAGCAGGGATGTCTGTGTCCCCCATCCCTGCAGCTGCCTTGGCATGCCTGGCGTGTGCTCCTCTGGCCAGAAGAGTTGCCTGTGGGTAACGGAGCAAGACTGGTGCCTCTGAGGCAGGTGTTTGGTGTGGGACAGCATGCCCAAGGTGGTGGCTCAGCAGGGAGCTCCATGGCTTGGTATACCTGAGTGTGACTGTGGCCCAAAGAGAAAGCTGAAGGACTGGGCCTTGGGCCTCCATTTAAGAGAGGCTGCCCCATCCAGGGCTGGGGAGCTGTGGTTTACATCCAGGCCAACAAATGAAAGCTTAAAACGTGCAGTGCCAGGCTGGCATGGATACACAGTGCTGGCCTGGGATGGATGCGCAGCACCAACCTGCCGCAGACTCCTGGCACATAGCTAACCTCTCGGGGTGCTCACTGTGTCCCAGAAGTGGTGAGAGCTCGGGCAGGATGGGGTCTCTGCCTGGGGGCTGCAGTGCTGTGGGAGTGGGGAGCAGCTCCGCTGCTGCCCGCAGCTGGTCCCCACCACAGAGCTTCTCCAGCACTGTCTGCATGGGGGGTCCTGGCGTTTGCTCTCCATCATGACCCCTGGGTGATTTAGTATTGCAAAAACTGGGGACTGAGTGTCCTGCTGGGCAACCGTTAGATGTGATGCTTGCCTGGAAGAAGAGCCTGAGTCGGTATTCCCCTGCAGTTTTAAGAGAGGCGGTGCTGGAACAGACCCAAGGCCCATCCAGCTCTGCCATCTCTGGAGTATCTCTCGGTGGATGCAGAAGAGGGAGCGGGAAGAAGCACGTGTTATTTCTCCCCCCTCCGCTTCCAGCTATTTTCCATGTAGGGAATTTCCTGAGCCTGTTGTGGTTTTCCTACCTAGGGTAACTCCCAGGGGATCTCCTGTGAGCACTTGTGCAGGTTGCCTTTGAATCTGTGTAAACTTCTTGCTTCTGCAGCACCTTTCAGCTTCTCCCTAAGCTGCCTTGCACACCTTTGAAGTGTAGTGTAGGCGTGGTGAATGTCCCAGCCTTGGCCCCTATAGGGGATGCTTAAGCCAAGTATGTTGTGGCTGTTGTCTGAGAACCACTACTGAGACGTTGCAGCAAATCCCACGTGTTACTCAGGACGTTGCATCTTGTTTAACCAGCTGAGCTATGAAAGCTGTCACTGAGAGCACCTGAAACTGAACCTGTGCTTCCTGGCCTCATGGGCAAAACGTCACATCCCCAAGGGGAGTCACCAAAGCTGACCATCCCCTGCCCCTTTGCTGTCTCTGCCTTCTCCCTGCCTACTGCAGTCAGCTCCTGGCTGAGGAGTTGATAATGTGGAGAGGTTGTATTGGGTCTGTTTTAAGCATGAATAGTAACAGGTAGATTGTGCTGTACGCTGGGGCATCTCAATAAACCACCTCCAGCGGCTCAGGAGACACCATTGCTGCAGTAACTGCTTCACTCTGTCCTTTTCCCACCCTGCAGGCCCCGGCAGGACCTGATGAGGTTGGGAAGGTAAGTGATGTCAGGGGTGGTGTTACCGGCTGGGATTGTGGGTCTCATCTCCCACACATCAGCCTCTCTTGTGGTGCTTTTCTTTTGAAGGAGGAGGTCCAAGGGCCGAGGTAAGAGAAGACAAGACAAGAAGAGACGTAAAGACTGTGAACTGTAAGTGAGCAGGGACAGGTATGGGTGGTGTCTTCTGGGTTTATTTCTTTGGGATGAGCAGCTTCATTAAGCCTTTATGTCTTTACTGACACTGTGAGCAGTGAGAGGTTTGTGCAGAGCAGAACAGGAGAAAGCAGGGCAGAGGGGATAGTGCAGTCCCAGGGTTTTCTGGATCCATGAATTTCCACTTTCAGCCTCATCTTGCTGCCTGCTCTGTCCTTCCTGATGTCCTTGGCTGGTTGTTGTTTGGGTTACTCTACCCTTTCCCTCTTTATATTTAGCTGACTCTCAAACAGCTTGCTGTAACAGGGCAGGCTGGACTCCTACTGTGGAGAGTTTTGGGGTATGGTGCCTGTGGCTGGCACTTCCCTGTTGCATTTCCCCGTTTTGGCTGAAGCCCGCTCTTCGGTGTTCAGCCAGCACCTACAGCCCCATTGCCCTCACTTCTCCCTGTGAAAAGGCTGCCTGTGGTCCCTACCCCTGCGGTTCAGTGCTGGAGGGGCCAGGCAGAGAGGGGGGACCTGGGGCAGAGCAGGTTAGCCTGGGGGTCCTAGTGTCCCCCCCAGTCCCGGTGGTGCTCACTCTGTGCCATGCTCTCTTTGCAGATGTGGCACGCCACGCAGGTAGCCTCCGCTCTGCTCCCGGCCTTGCTCCTGCTGCCTGGGTTTGAGCCAGCCGTGTTTGAGCCCCCCCCCCCCCCCCCACGCGGGG